GTCCGATCTTGACGATGACCAGGGGTTATCTAGTCCCAGTGCCAACGACCCACCTGTCCAACGGTTCCGAGAACGAGGACTACCGAAGGATGCTTCTGGCCACAGCCAGCATGGACTTACTGTAGAGCAGGCTGGACTTTTATCGCAAGATGCTCGACGGCCGCCCAGCTCAGCAAGCTCATTCCCAACATCGGTATCACCGCTAGCCTCAGAACATACAGTGCACGATGCCTTTTGGGGCCAGTTGTTTTTGATATCTCTCGCAGGGTTGTTTGCTTCTGCATTTCTTGTGTGGCTCCACACATCTACACCATCTGGGGACAAATCAAGATGGGGCGATACAATATACATGACTGTCCATCGATCTTTCTTCCTGCTCGGGATATATACTATTGTATCAATTCTTGTGTCCCTTCTTTGGTTGGCTTTACTGCGATCCTATGTGCGACTTCTGGTCCATGTGATTCTAGTCGCCGTTCCCATTATCTTATACTCTTTCTCATTATATCCTTTCATCTCAAGTTTCAAGGGACCATGGCACGGGACGAGTATCCAAGACAAGGCGATGAGATGGGGCTCTACTGTTCCGTTTCTCATAGCTACCATGTGGATCTACAATGTTGTGCGTGGCCGTCAGTCTATAGGGAAGGCCATAGGCATTCTTGAGTTTGCCTGTCGAATCTTGGCCGCCAATCCCGAGCTTCTTGCTCTTGGTCTGGGAGCCTTGGTCTGTGTTGTTTCCTGGACATGGATCTGGATGCTGATGTTCACTCGCGTTTTCTTGGGCGGTCATCTCGTTAGCTCAAAATCGTTCATTATTGATGTGGGTAGCTGGTGGCTCGGCATCTACTTCGTTATTGTTTATCTATGGTCGATCGGTGTCATTGCAGGCATCCAGCGTGCTGTCACTGCTGCAACAGTGAGCCAATGGTATTTCCATCGTTTAGCCACACCTGCCCCCACCTCGAGGCAAATTGTTCAGGCAGCCATCGTTCATGCTGCCACAACTCTCTTCGGCACGATCTCTTTGTCTAGACTACTGGGCTTACTGGTTCGAGCTCCTCTTCTCTTATTACCAGGTCGCATCTCCTCATTGCTCAGTCTATTCGCCTATTCACTCGTCCCCACCCCGATTACTTACTTGACCAATCCTCTTTCTCTCACTTATGCAGCAATTCATTCGCAGCCTCTTGCCGCTTCCTCCCGTGGGTTAAGCCAAATGACTATTCTTGCTCCATCGGCGGCCTCAACCTCTTTACACCCCCGTTCCTATTCTCGGTCCCCCGGGAACTCGGGGTCTTTACTCTCATACCGGCTGTCCAAGTTGATCCTCTACGCTGCCCGTTTCATGATGTCCTTGGCCTTAGGATTTGGTGGTTGGGTGACCACTGCTCGAAGCCTGACAACCTCTGCGTCCGGTGGCACCATTCGTGGCAGTCTTTATGCCTACGTTGTCGGTCTCATTGCTGGAACAATTGGCTGGACCACACTAGGTGCAATGGAAGGAGTGATTGCAGATATTGTAGATGCAGCGGTCATTTGCTGGGCAAGTGAAGTCGGTATTTACGGCAGAGAAGCCCGGTATTGCCGCGAGGCTGGTTGGCTCTTTGGCGACTCGCAGCCTCGCTTCGGACATGAATATCAAGAGGTCTAGCCGCGGGGGGTTACCTTTCTTCGTCTTATACATCCCTAATTCATGCACCATTTCTTCGTACAATTGAGCGGTTATAATATTTCCATATGCTTTAGCGATGACTCATGTGGGTTCTTTTCCCGGATGACTTGACAAGCAAATATATTCTGCATTTACATTTCGGTGGCAAGTGATGCCAAAGCAGCTCTCTGAGAACATAATGTATTATTTTGCATCCCCCATGGTATATTCGAATTGCAAATAGCTACATGAAAATCCAGGGCTCGTGGTATCATGAGAAAATATAAAGGGAAAGGCAATGACATGTGGGAAAGAAAACAAACAAGGCCCCCCCGCCTGAGACGCCAGATGAAACATATTCCGAACGAAAGAACCAAAAAAAAAGGACAAATATGAACGATGAATTAGAGACCAAGACGTCCATTCCACTCCACTCGTTCTTTCGAGCACCATTCTTTTAGTAGGGACCAGCCAAACCGAACCACCTCGATTGGCGGGGTAGTGCCACCGAGTGGTAGGAAATAGCTTCCAGCGTAATCACCAGCCTTGAGAGATGATCGGCCTCGTTCCGAATAATTTCGAGATCGCTGGGACCAGATTGTAGGGAACTCACGGCCAAGGACATCTTCAGACAGACCCCGGGTGCCCTCTATCCACAGCTTCTGGGACTCCTTGTAGCACTCAGGAAGACGAGCCTTCAATTCTGAAAATTCCTTCCTGCTTTTCCTGTTCTCATCCAAGAGGGCTGTGTGTCCGTCACTCCCAGGCGTGGGAACCGGGGTGTGCTCTCCGGGAATGGGGCTTATCGCGAGGCGTTCAAGATCGAGAGTGTGAATTGCAGTGAAGGACACAGCTCCAAGGAGCAAGCAAAGACTGTTTAATGCCGGATATGGTACACTGTTCTTCCTGACTACACGCCAGTATGGCACAATAGACAGCCATGTCGAGGAATCCCCGACCTGGCGTGATGAAGCCTTGGCCTGGTCGTTCGCTACGAACGCCATAATAAAAGACAACAACGCTTCGATTGCAGTCACAACGGCTAGCTTTTCGTCAGTGACCGAGGTCCCGGTTTTAGACGTATGCCGCTCTGCAGCATGTTTCAATTCACGACCGATGCTCGCAAACTTTTGCCACTCATCCCACCATATCTGCCGCTCATTGCGCGTACGACCATCTGCCGGTGTCGGAGAAGCTTTCATGATTGACCCGGGATCGACCGAGTGGCGCTTGTTGGCGAGATAAGGAGTTTTGCCATCATGCTCTCCGACATCGTGTCGACGAGAGGTAGGGGGTTTTAGGTCTTTTGGGTCTTTCACCGGAGTGATGGAAGCTACTTTGGGTTTGTCATGGGCGATTGAATGAGAGGAGGTCAAGTGTGGCTGAGGAACCGGCGTTCGAGGCTTTTCGGGGTTGCTTTTCGGCTCCTTTGAGCGACCATATTGAGGGCCAAGGGCTTCGCCAGTCTCATGTTTCTTGCCCTTCAAATCCCCCAATGTGTGCCCCCGAGACGAACCGGTATCTCCTCCCTTCTTCCTGGAATGGGAAACATCATCATGATCGGTATCCTGGCTGACCGGCGAATCTGACAGATGCGCTTTCCTTTTACCAGAAAATTTAAGCAAAGCTTCAACACGCTTGCGGTTCGCTCTTCCATACCGTAGTTTGGTAAGAAGCTGCGTCCTTTGTGGGTCGGCACGAGCGTGGTCTCTTGAATATTCATGGGTATTGGATTCTTTGGCAGGCAATCCCTTCCCTGCCCGACTATTGCGAGGCGGTGAATGGTCTTCAAGACGGGCCAACTCCTTTTCGATGTCTGGGGGGAGGGTAGGAGATAGCAAGCGCGGAAGTCTGGGGCCACCCGATGTCGGTGGGAGAGTAGGCGAAAGAAGTGCGGGCAGCTTGGGGGAGTGCGATTTGGCAGGGCTGGGCTCTCGGCGTGTCTCTTTCTCGGGAGACAGTCGCGGTTTCTTTGTAGGATGTGCTTCGGACTTCTTAGTCGCTGAGGGGTTGGAGAATTCGAGTTCCGATCCAGATGGCCGTTTCTGGCCCGCTCTTTCGGGAGAGAGACGCGCATGTGACTTCGGAGGCAGTCGAGGCATTTTAGTCTTATCGGTATTCTTGAGGGGCTCCGAGGATGTCATCTGTCGTCTTTCTTCGGACTTGGCAGAGCTTGACGCGCCTCGGCTACCCGCTTCGAGGCCAATGGGGGATGCGACAGCGACACTGGTCTTCTGAGTCTTGTAGTCCTTGAGACTAATTTTCTTTTTGGCCACAGTTTCTCTTGAAAATTCTCCAGCGCCTGGGACAGTTGATCGATCGGCCATCATGCGCCCCGTTTCGTCTGACCAGTCCCCGACGGCTAGAAGTAATGAGTCCGTGTCGTGATGTGTCAAGAAGGTCATGTATTGTAGTTGCTGCTCCTCCAAGCTGAAGGGTCTGTCATGCCCTACGGCCCAATTGTTGGCGGACCGGTTCCCCAGATTAAAGGGCGTTTTGGTCGGAAATGTGAGCAAATATGGAACGGGGGGGGAGGACGTTGTCGGAGAGGCGCTGCAATCGTTCGTCAAGCACTTCACGGTCCGACGTTGGGGAACTCGCAGCTCGAAGGGTTGTAGTGGTTTGGGAATGGCGGTTCTCGTTCACCGACATCGCAGTGCGCAGGGGTTCGCGATTTGTTCTTCCACAAGAGGTGCTGGTATCATACGCGCTTCAAGCACAATTTGGGCCGAAGTCTATCACCGAGTCCTGTTTCTCGAGTCGGTATGGCAAGTTGCCTGGTGATAGTCAACGCATTGAGTCAAGCGAAGGATATTGGATATACAAGATCCGGCCTTGTTCAGGTGCCGAATAATCAGGGCATCCTATCACTATCGCGCGTGGGGGGTGTTCCCATAACCCTGGGATTTCGAAGCCGCGCAATTGGGTGGAAGAAATAAACACAGTCGAGGTAACAAAGAAAAAGTGGGATGTGTCACAATGAGAGGGTGACCTCTTTCCATGAAGGAGCGAGAGATGGGAAATGTCCCCGGATAGAATGAAAGAGACGGATGAATTGGAGAAGGTTACGTTAGGGCGGTTACGGTGCCTGTTGCTTATCGGCTTATCGTTACCATACAAGTTCATTACATACAGTACAAGAGTATAAGGTACAAGAGTACATAGTATAGTATGTAGTTATCCATTGACGAACGTTTGAATATCCTATACATAGTTATATATATATATATATATACATGTATGTATGTATATGCAGGATGTATGTGCATTTGTCATCTTGATAAGATGTTAGGGAATGTATCTATAAAAGTTTCTTATGCCAGCTTTATTCCTGAAGCCTCAACAATCACGAACGATCATCCTCTGCAAACTTCTCACGCCAGAATGCACGGTAATGGTTCTTCTCGCCTATCTTAGAGATCTCATCAACCTCTTCAGGTGTCAGTTTGAATGTAAATATGCGTAAATAGCTGCTTAGGCGGGATTCTTTGCCACTGGTGGTAATAGACACACAGCCACGGTCAATAGTCCAGCGTAACAGGATCTCGGACTGGCTGACTGCATATTTGGTGGCCAAGGAAGAGAGCAGAGGGTCCAATGGCCCACCCTGAGCCCGGGTGGCAGGAGTGAGACCACCATAACTAACAGTCTTGATACCTTTGCTCTCTTGGTAGGGAACAAGATTGCCATGTTGAAGGTAAGGATGGAACTCAATCTGATTCACAGATGGTACCACTTTAGCAGTTTCGAGAATCGTCTCCAAGTCACCTTGGAGGAAATTGGACACACCAATAGACCGGGCCTTCCCAGATGCCTTAACTTGCTCCATAGCAGCCCAGGCAGCTTGAAGCTCTTCTTTGGACTTTGCAAAGAACGGAGAATGAATCAAATACCTGCTCCGATTGTCAAAAGCGGTTCCCGAGCGAGCCATCACTCACACCACGTTGGAATTCACTTACAGGTCCACATAGTCAAGCTGGAGCTTCTTGAGGCTGGTATCAATGGCCTGAGAAATATCGGCGATATTGGTGATGACCTTGGTTGTCACGATGAGTTTCTCTCGAGGCACCCCGCTCTCTTTGATTGCCTGTCCCAGTTCCTCCTCGGTCTGGTAGATTTCAGCCCCATCGAGGTGGTGGTATCCTAGTTTCGTTGCCGTCTTGATTGATTCGACCAATTCATGATTGATACCGGTGTCGGACCTCTTAAACCATGCGGTGCCAGTGCCATACCCAACCTGGATTTGTTAGAGAACATTGCCCGTATTACGTGGGGGGTAATGACGGATCTACTCACAATAGGGATGGAGGTACCATCATTGAGGTCCAATGTAGGAATAGATGCAATAGTGTTTGCCATGATTTCAATCTGCTTTAGAAAGGGTAAAATATACTGTAGAATGATGAAAGGTGTAAGTGGATAGATATACTAGGACCTCCGGACCCCGGGCTGTACCTTTCATCTGTCCCGTGGATCTCGGCCTGGGCAATGATTAATAATGGTCAATTATGTCATTTCTAAATCCCGGAAAGCTCCCGTCCCTCTTCATACTTCCTCGTCAATACTTTTGAAACCTTCACTTGAATTTATATTGAATTACTTTAGGTCTCTCTCTATGAACTTCCGCGTGCTTGTGTGTTCAAGAAATTGGTATATGTTTCCACAGAGTTTTCGGCCACCGTCGGTTCGGAATCGTTTAAACAAAATGGTATCACATCTTTCAACTGCCGGGGTCTCCCTGGCTGAATTACCGAAATCAAATGTTTTCACTTCCAAATTGCCCTCTGATCCGGCTTTTGAAACACCGGAATCCTCGCATAAGGCCCCAAGGGAAACTTTAGGACCTCGCATGGTCAAAGGAGCTTTGTTCACATACATTCGCCCAGAGCAGACCGATGACCCGGAACTACTAGGAGTCAGTTTGAAAGCGATGAAGGACTTAGGACTGAAACTAGGTGAGGACCAAACACCACAATTCAAGGCGCTGGTCGCCGGGAATGAGATTTGGTGGAACGAGGAACAGGGTGGAATCTACCCATGGGCACAGTGTTATGGAGGTCAGTATCGACATCATCATGCATGAGGAATGCAACGAGACTAACATGAACAGGGTGGCAATTGTAAGCTACGAAAGGAGCTAGAGATGTAACGTTAACGGCTGACAACATCTAGCGGTTCATGGGCCGGACAACTTGGAGATGGGGTAAGTCAATAAGTTGACATGCAACCAAGTCCTCGGCTCCCTAGACATACTAATGACCGGAAAACTAGCGTGCAATCAGTCTCTTCGAATGTGCCAACCCGCAGACAAATAAGCGGTATGAGCTGCAACTGAAAGGAGCAGGCAAAACACCCTACTCGCGTTTCGCAGATGGCAAAGCTGTCCTCCGGTCAAGTATCCGTGAATACGTGGTCTCAGAAGGTAAGAAACCCTCCATGAAACTCGAGGACAGACCACTGAAAGATTGGCAGCTCTCTCTGCCCTCGGTATACCAACCACTCGAGCCCTCTCACTCACCTTGGTTCCCAATGCCAAGGTACTGCGAGAGCGTCTTGAACCAGGAGCAATTGTTGCTCGGTTTGCTGAGAGCTGGCTAAGAATCGGCACCTTTGATCTTCTTCGCGTTCGCGGAGATCGCGAGCTGATCAGAAAGCTTGCGACATATGTTGCAGAAGATGTCTTTGGCGGATGGGAATCCCTTCCCGCAATTATATCGCTGCAGGACCAGCAGTCTGCCACGCAAATCGATAATCCGCAAAGGGGTATTCCTGGCGCTCAAGTACAAGAACACCAGGATATACAAGAAAATCGATTTGCTAGACTGTATCGAGAAATCGCTCGCCGCAATGCTACGACGGTGGCCGCGTGGCAGGCCTACGGCTTTATGAATGGCGTGCTAAACACTGACAATACATCCATTTACGGCTTGTCGCTGGACTACGGCCCGTTTGCGTTCATGGACAACTTTGATCCCCAATACACCCCGAACCATGATGACCACATGCTGCGATACGCCTATCGCAACCAACCCAGCATCATCTGGTGGAATCTAGTCCGACTCGGAGAGTCACTAGGCGAGTTGATCGGGGCTGGAAACCGGGTTGACGACGAGAGTTTCGTCAACGATGGGGTGACAGAGGAGTTTGAACCCGAACTTGTCAAACGCGCGGAGAAGATAATCGAGCGTGTGGGCGAGGAGTTCAAAGCAGTATTCCTAAACGAATACAAGCGCTTGATGGGCCAAAGGCTAGGACTGAAGACACAGGCCGATTCAGACTTCCAAAATCTTTTTTCAGAGATGCTTGACACACTTGAAGCACTCGAACTGGACTTCAACCACTTCTTCCGCCGGCTTTCCGGGATGCCACTGTCTAATCTGAATACCGAAGAAGGTCGAAGAGAAGCAGCCTCGGTCTTCTTCCACGCTGAAGGTTTCGGTGGTATTGGATACACCGAGGCTACAGCTAGAGATCGCATTGCGAAATGGCTGGACAGTTGGCGGCTTCGCGTCCTAGAGGACTGGGGCCCCGCAAACGACGAGGATAGACAAAAGGCCATGAAATCCGTCAACCCGAATGTAAGTACCTGTTGAAATCTTTTTTTTTTTTAATTTTTCTTTTTTGGAAATCCGGTGCAGAGTGACTAACCCATTGATAGTTTGTGCCTCGAGGGTGGATTCTCGACGAGGTCATCGAGCGTGTGGAGCGCAAAGGAGACCGAGATATTCTTGGCCGGATCATGCATATGTCTCTGAACCCGTTCAACGATGAATGGGATCTTCACAAGGAAGAGGAAGAGCGTTTCTGTGGGGATGTCCCCAAGTATAAGAGGGCTATGATGTGCAGTTGCAGTTCATAATCAAGCTACGAGCGCTATGCGGATGCCAACTCTCTGGGAGGCGAAGGTATGATGATATGGAAAAAAAAGAGAAAAAGAAATCAGAACCGATTTGAGCTACATAATAAATGCGTCGACTCCCCCACGAGATAGGCCGAGATAATTTAAAACGTGCAAATATTCGGATTTGCCAAGCTCCCCTACTTCATATTTTATACGCGTTATCATAAAAACCGGGAAAATTACCAAACAACCTAGGTAAGAAGCATCAAAAGTTAGATCATGTCAACTTTATCAGTTGTTGATCTCTAATCATACATTTTCAGGAAAAAAAGAGAAATTCGTTTCGTGCATGCATGAAAAATGTCGTCCAATCCCATGGAAAGTGTAGAAAGATGTTGACCAAAAGAGCAATGCAAGCAATGGGCAATGGGGACCTTAGTTAGGGCAAGCGGACTGAACGTGACCGGGCTGCTTGCACTTGTAGCACATGCGCTCACCCTTGGCCTCAGTGGGGCAGTCGCGAGAGACGTGACCGACTTCGCCGCCTAATCATGAGTTAGTAGCAGATTCCAGACAAAATGAGAGATGTAGGAGAAGAGCCCGAGATCACTGACAGTTGTAGCACTTCTGGCCCTGGGTGCAGTCACGGGCCATGTGGCCGAAGCCACCGCAGGAGTAGCAGGTCTGTTGACGACCACCGGCACCACCAGGACCACCGAAACCACCACCGTATCCGCCAGCGCTGTAACCACCACCGTAGTTACCACCCTGGGAGCAGTTGCGTGCGATGTGGCCGACCTGTCCGCACTTATAGCACTCTTGGGAACCACCACCGCTGTAGTTGCTGTCGCCACCCTGGGGGCATTCGCGAGAAAGGTGTCCGGTCTGGCCGCAACGGTAGCACGACTTCTCCTTGGGAGGTTCCTGGCATTCACGGCCTTTTTTTTTCAAATGTTAGTGAAGTCCAGAGTCTGCGAGCTTCAACTTCAACTTACTCAAGTGACCTTGGCCTATAATTGTGATTGACTTGATTAGTAAAGTTCTAATAGTCTATCCAAATGTCTAATGGACGATTTTAAAATGAGCATACCGTTGCAGTTGTAGCTATTGGAAGACTGGATTAGCTTTTTAAATCGACAAATCCAAGGTAAAGGGGAATTACCAGGTAGGGTTTCCTTTCTTAGGGCAGTCCTTGGCCTATACAAAGAGCAGATAAGCTTCAGGTTCTTCTTTCCTTTTTCCTTTTTCTCTTTCCCCTCCCCTCTTTTGTTCAAATATCCAGAGGGAAGTCAGGCAAAGGTTGTATTTACCTGGTGAGAGGCCTCGCCGCCTATCAAGGAAGAGTGTTAGTTATAAAAATATTCCCCAAAAAATACCAAATATGGCAAATCAGGTATCAGGTTGCGCAATAGAAGTCACAAGAGAGTCTCCAATTCGAATGCCACACAAGCTTCACAGTGAATATGACGTATTCACACTTTTGAATCGAATTGACTCCAGTTGAAGAAAAAGAACATACAGTTGAAGCAGCCACCACGTCCAGCAGGGGGGAAGTCCATTTCGAATATTGGGATGTTTATAAGAAAAGAAAGAGAATAAAAAAGAGGTTAAGTAAAAATGAAGAAGAGTCTGCAAAAAAAAAAAAAAATCATAATATTGTAGTGCGGGGAGAAATCTTCCCGCAAAAGCTGACCGCCCTGAAAGAGAGTCATCCATATTTAAGAGATCTTAAAAGACATCTTAAGAGATGGGTTAACGCTCAGGACTCCCTTTTTTTCCCCTTCTGTAATTCGTTTGTTTTTCTTATGTCCAGTTTATGTAATGAGAATCTCACGGATTTTAAAAAATGGCTGTTTGTCTGTCCCCCCTTATCCATTTTTAAGGAAAAATAAAAGAAAGAAAAAGAGGGTTCCTAGGTCTCCGAAGGTGTAATGGATTGAGAATAGAAGGGAAAATATAGAAGTGAACCAAAATTCCAGGGTCCTCGACTTTTATATAGGGACCCCCCTGTCCTGCCAGGGTCCCCAGTCACAGGGTTGAGTACCTTGTGCTACATACACATCAACAGGTTTACGCTTATGCCAAGTTCAAAAGTTAGGGACTAGTTTCTTTCTTTCCCCTCCCCATTCTCTGTTATTAGCATACCTTGACATATCTATCCATGGATAGATATACTCTGTGTTAGGTGAAGTCGTAACACTCAAGTAGTTGTGTTCCGGTCTTTTCTCGAAGGAGAAGTACCCGTTCTTCGTCAAATCCGATAGGTAGGGTCAATTCTTCGCCCACGTCCACATTTACATGGTCCGAATGGTGGTAAATCGTTCCTAGCCCTAGCCTGGATTCGGGCTGCCCATTCTTGTTTTCAGCGTTGAGCTGAACACCGTTCTCCTCGAAGAATTTGCGGCCCAGGGATGATATCGCCATCTCCAACTCCCATATTCGAATCTCATCCCCTCGAGAGCTTACAGAGACAGCTTTCCCGCGGTTGGTCACATGGACAGCAGATACAGAAGAGGTATGACCCCAAAGTCGCCGGCCGCCTTGGACAAACAAAGATTCCAATGTAGATACCACAAGGTACATAGTCAACGTGTTGTCGTTATGAGAGGTCAGCAGATATGGATGGGAATAGGACATGGAGGTTGGTGGCTGTTGATGTATGATAGACGGTGCCCCAGGGTCGATACGAGGTGGATTCTCGACCGACTCGCTTGCAGAGTGTCGCCTTTTTCTGGATTGAAGTGGCCTCAACCCAAATTGGGAATCCACCGTAGTAGCCAGTCGGGAATCAAGTTGTTGCCCGTCTTTGCCTAGACGCAATTCTTGGATCCCTAGAGACCACCCACAACCAATGTGGAAGAAACTATACACAATAGTAGCCACAATTTCAAAGGACGACACTCTAAGAGATACTGTCATGGGTGCAACGATGTTATCTGCCTTGAGGGAGGCAACCTGGCGGGGCCCTGAGGCCTCGGTGGTTTCCCCTGCTCGATGGGTGCCAGGTTGCAGATTGTATAAGGTCAAAACTTTGTGCTGGGAGACTACCATTAAATACGGTGACGACAGGGCCATTGCCGTTATAGCAGAATCACTGCAGCCGACATGGGAGGACTGCAAATCTAACTGGGACGTTGGAAGATTTAAGACGAAGAGGCTGAAGTGACCATTTTCCAGTCCGACTGAGATCTCGATTTTATCTTGGATCTGGCTGACCGCCAAGGCGGTTGGGGTCAGAGGTAATGATTCGGATGGAGCCGACAAGGGAATTCTTGCAAGGCAGCGTGCTGAATCTCTTGTGGTCCAAGCCCGGAGCCCGTGTGCTGAATCTGCGGTGAAGACAATCCCAGCACAAAACCTGACCAGCGTAGGAGGGCATGGTGGCTGAGGAAACTCTACCTCAGTAACCCGGCATAGCCCTTTGGACCAATTATGCCGGAGCCGATACTGCCGTTTCCAATTTCCCTCCTGTGCCAAATGCCCATGATCGAACCATGTTGCGACCTTGGGCGTATAATCCGTCTTGGCTGGGAGGGTTGTGCGTCTAGTATTTGCGAGGCGGCGGGCACGGGGCCGCACCCATTCCGAGTAGTATTGCCTTTTCCATATCTCAGAGTCCCCACCAAGAGCATGGAAGCGATGTGATAACCTTGAAGTAGTAAGTCAGCAAACCCGCCAAGGACCGACGACATTAGAAGGATAGATACCTTTGGCACACGTTAAGGGATGATACTGGTAAAAATGAAAGGATATGGAGGAGCAACTCATTGCTCAGACGAGACAGACGATCCACAGGCCCAATATCGTTCCGAGTACGGATCCGCTTTTGCGGTAGATCGGAGTCCCAGTGGTCTCTGCACCGTTTGGACATCCTGTCTCAGGAGTTAACAAAAAGAGGGGCCTGCAAGGGGACTAGTCAATCAATCGAAGAAATCATTCCGCACGCTTGGAGGAACACAGTGGTTGAAAGTGGAGGGACAATTGCAGGTGGAGTAGGCCCCGAGCCACTGGGGAACCTTATCAGTAAGTGATAAGCTCACGTGTGCCCATTTGGCCTCGACGCGTCGCGTTTGTATCGCTCTTGCTGACTAGAACGACTACAAATTGGGGAGCGTTTTTTTTTTTTTCTTTGCTTTCCTTCTCTCGTGATTCATGTCATTTCCCTCGACGGTACACTAGAAATCTCACAATGGACGTGGTCAAGGAGCTCCACGCTGCTGTGGCAAATGCCTGTGAGGCCTCCTTCGACAATGCCTACAAACTCATGAAATCCCATATTGATGCACACGCCAAAGAGGCAGAAATGAAAGAATCAATTGCCAGTCAAGCTCAGCGACGGTCAGAGACCAGAATTCGAGAGCTTGAGCATGATATCACCGTACTCCGGAGTGAGCTGCAACAATACGAAGTTGATCCACGGGATCTTGAACTTCCCGGGGAATATGCCAATCTAGAGACCGAATTTGACCCGAAGAATCTGTGGGGGGATGATCTGGATGATGATGATCATCATCGCACTGCTCGGAAGTCTCGGAAAAGAGTTGAGGCCAAATACACCGCGCTTTATACCAATTTACAGACCTTCATCCAAACTTGGAGTGGTCTCAAATCCCGGGTGTTGCAACATAAAAAGAAGTTACGGCGATGGGATCAGCAATTAGAGCGTGGAGAATTCTCGCTTGTTCTCAATGGCCAGCCCGTCACATTCCGCAGAGTGGAAAGTCCCACCCCTGAGGATGTCGACGAAGAGCACTCGAAGGTCCAAGGATTTTCAAAGAAACGTTCAAGAGAAGAGTGTCCAGATGTTCCTGCCAAGGCCATCAGGTTGTCACAACAAAGGTCCTGTGCAGATGATGTGCACGCAGATATAAAGGTTGAAGATGATAGCCAAAGACTAATTCATGGCCTAACATCAGAGTCGGCCTCCACTCAGTCTAGCCCTCCTAGACCCGATATGGAACCCTCGGAATCTTCTGGTACAACATGTCTCTTATCCGATGCCCGCCAGCAGCAAACTCGGCAGATGCTTTCCACGACACTTCCCGACAGACATCTCGAGCATACCCAGCCGGCGGTCATCGGATCGGAGCGCCCTACGCTTGTCAAAAATGAGATATTGTCCTCGAGTCCAGCCCGAGGTCCAATGCACAACAGTGAAGAACCATTTTTAGGCACACAAGATCTCGATGAGATAGGAGACAGGATACGCACACCAATCAAACGGAAAGCCTACCGGGATGTCAATAATGCAGACGCTTGGAATTTGAAGAACGATGCAAATAACGCACGTCACTCAAAGCGAATTACAATCGGCCAGCAAACATCCCAACAGTCATCTATACTCCGACCAGTTGATGGCAACGCACGCAGGGCGACATTATCTACACTGGGGTCTTCTACGAAACGCCTTCAAGATCTGGAGCGACGCGCAATACCAGCTCTAGCAGAAGATGGTGACGATGCGATATCCTTACGGACGTCTTCGAAAATTGGCTCCGGTGTTAATCTTGGACCTGCGGGGGCAAGGACAAATGGTGGGTTTACGCAGGGACGTCTAGAAAATCTTTTAGAACGATCGGTACCTTCCAAATCACCACTTCATTTGTCAAGCAGAGTCTCCGGTTCAGACTCAGCAAGGGCGCCCGATACACCGCACGATGATCAAACAACACCTAAGATGTCAAGTCAAATGGCCCCAGATATAGACCCTGATGATGAACCATTCAGGGCAAGACCTCTTCGTCGTCTTGGGTTAGAACATTTCAAAATAAACCCGAGTAGAAATCAAGGGCTTGATTACGCATATCAAGCAGTTGTCCGAAAGAAGGATGACCGCAAATGCATTTCAGGTTGCACTCGCCCGGGATGTTGTGGGGATCGGTTCCGGGCCATGGCCCGCCTTGGGGGTCTCCCCGGTAAATCTGGAGCAGAACAACAAGAAGAAGACCAGGCAATTCTAGAAGAGTTTGTCGGTGAAGATACACAATTGCTTCGAAACATGAGCGGCAAAGAGCGTGAAAATCTCCTGGTGGAAGCGAGAGCCAGGGCCCTGGCCAACCAGTATGGACGACATCGACATACTCACCAGCGAGCTCAATCCCCTCCTGGCTTCTGGCGGACTGATATGCCAGATACGCAGGAGGAGAAGGAGGACCTTGAAGCTGCCAAGAGGTTGGAGCGTGAGAAAGTGGAAGAGCGATATCGAGAGGCTATGCGCCCTGGGGGGTTATGGACATGGGCAGATGAATAAGATTTATATATTTCTCCCTGTGTATGACCTGTTTGATATTATTCTATGATTGGAAAACATCATAAATGTTATCACAGTCAGTTCAATTGCCATGCATAGATCTAAGTATATAAGTATGCAAAAAGGCCTAAAGCATCAACCTCGGCCCAAGGTATCTTGGCGGACGCGGGACCACGTGCCCCCCCCTGTAACCACCCGAGGTCACCCTCCCCCGGATCTCATCCCCTCCGTCACAGCTACCTCAACATGCTTGGAGCTTAAAGATGGAAACCGTTCGCAATATTCAGAATCCAATACCTCCGGTGCTCTTGCAACCATCCAAATGGCTTTCTATCTATGAAGACTTCGTGACGAAGAACGCTAGCTCGGTTGGTCAAGTCGAGTCGGCGCTGAGATCTTTGACTTATATCATCCCAGGTGAGTTCTCATTCGGTTTGATCATGTGGCTGTTGAAGAATCTAACAAATACCTTTTATCAGGGCGATACCGCGAATCAGAGATACCATCAGAATGTGGTTAGTGTAACCTTGTACTTGCCTTTGAGCGTGTCTACTGATACCCCCTGCAGTGCACTCTGGTGTCCAGTTGTTATCGTTATACCATGACTCTCTTGTTTCGCGAGTTGTTGATCGGCTTCCATCGACTGTACCCCGGCCGCCGCCCACTCCCCACTCCCGATATACCAAATACTGGACCTCTCGCTCCTCGCTCTATCGCCAGGTAGCGCTTGCGCTACAAATGCTCCAGTATACCGAACTCCTCTGGGAGATGGCGGCGCGGCGGCGCGGCCAGAAAACACGTTGGCGCGTGATTATCTTTATTGAATTCGCAAAGGCAGTCTGCCGCTTGCTTCTTCTGCGATTGACCAACTCCAGGCCGCTTGTGAGCCCTCCACTTCCAGAGCGCGAGGTGGATCCGAGAACGACAGAAGAAGAGGAACCACGAAGTGACTGGAACGGAATGGACACTCCAGTCAGCGAGCGGTCTTCAGACTTGAGTTGGACGATGCCTCGCACAGGACTTTCCCTTCCGTCTCTCCCCGACGTAAACGATGTGTCGAACTATCTCATCTCCAAAGTGCTTACAGCAGATGACATCAAACCCCCCAAGGCACTCCTCCACCGAGCGACGGGACAAGGACAATTAGCTGAAGTGCTATACATCCTTCGGCCTGTCGTCTACGCAATGGCGATGCAAAAGTGGCGTGGTGATAGGCGAAGCTGGCGGCCATGGCTTATTGGATTTGGGATGGAGTATGGCTGCCGCCAGCTCGCAAAGCGTGACTTCCGTGAACGGGTCGCTGGCGGTCTTCGAGGACTTACAGGGCTTGAGCGAGAGGAGCTGAAGAAGCGTGGATGGTCAATGGGCTGGTGGATGATGCGAGGCGCATTCTATGAAAACATCACCAAGTAAGAACCCCGACTCTGTTCTCTCTCTAGGTTCCCCTTTGAGTACTGATATTGTGAAACAGGTCATGGCTGCAGAGTTTCACTGGAAAGATGAAAGGCAAACCATTGTTGGACTTGGTGGGCAGTGTTGTGGAGGACTACGAATACCTGTGGGACAACTTCTACTTCTCGACTGCTACACTGTGAATTTCCACAGATGAGCCCAGATCTTTTTCACCCATGATACCCATTATTTCCATGTACGAGTCTTTTTTTTTTTTTTATGCTATTACATCTTTCGTTTGTTCTCACTCTTGCTGAAGCAAGCGTAAGGGGTATCATTAATGTTTTATTAAGTTTCATGTCTAATCACATTACACGGAGCATTCGCATTCAGAGAACCTCAGCTTGCCTGTGGCCATACCAATCCCGTAATCCAACCTTGCCCGTGCTTTTTCCGGGGGCTGATGACAGTAAAAACTCATTCAGCCGAGGTGCGCCTTCCTCCTCTTCGTCGGGCCAGTCGACTCGTGCTCCTCCTTTCATTTCAAGCATCTCCTTCGCAGTACCCCAGCTGAATCGACACTCGTTACCCCATCCAAACACAGGGTCCATGTTGCGTCGAAGCCAGCCGACACACTTGGAGTCCGAGGGATAGCCACTTCCCCAAGTCTCGGGAGTTGGACTAAGTGACTGCTCAGCGCGAAGCACGGCCTCGTACATGACTTCCAGTGCAACATCTCGCGTCACCTTGGCTGCCACACTGGCGGCACTCACACAGGGATACAAGGAATCAGCCTTCTTTGCCACTGTGATTTTGAGAGATGGGAAAATTCGCTCCAATTTTTGTTGGTATGTGGCGGGGTTCCCAATCGTGTCGATGTATACCTCTCGCACATCCACCCCTCGGTCTTCAACAACTCCTCGAATGATCTCCACTGTGGCATCCATGGCCTGGGCGTTCAGATTGTATACTGCGGTGGGTGATCTCATCATGCCAGAGGAGATGTCGCGCGCCGAAAGTACTTTGATCGCATAGCCGCAGGACTCGAACAACGAGTCTCCTGGTGTATTCAATAGATGCATCAAATTGGCTCGCACAGCAGGTGTAAGCACTTTGCTGTCATCAAAGCTATGTTTTTCGGTCAAAAGCGAGTGATGGAGATCAAGAGGGAGATAGAAGGCACCATGGACCATTGGCCCTAGGACTGGACCACGGCCGGCTTCATCGACACCCAAGACACATGGTGTACTCTCAACTATATCGTGAATTTTAGGTGAGGTCTCTTGGGGCGTGATTGCTTTTGGGCATGGGGTGTAGTACGCGTAGGATTCGCCGGAGAGAAGGAGTTCCGGAATCACACTAGGAGGAATAAAGGTAGATGATTCCTTGGGAGGATTGACGGAGGGAGTATTGCTTGGCATAATAGGCATATAGAATATTGAAGAGAGTTAAAGAAGATCAAGAAAAGAAGCAAAGAAAGCAAAGTAAGTCTTTCGGAGTCCAGAGGCAAATGTCAAAAGATCGAGTGAACGCGTCGACCGTTCGGGATTAGCGGGGGCGCGTGTTGCTCTTCCCGCCTAAATTCCGCATTCCTCCCCTCCACCTTGTGCCTCTGTCTCTTTTGACGGCTTTTCTTTGAATCTCTCCTTAATATTTTGATTCTTCTATCCTGGTGCTCAACTTTCAATATGGCACGAGGGCCCGGAAAGGCCCGCGACTTCGACTACTCCAATGTTGGAACCAAGGGAAGGTGAATATGTCATCGTCAATTTCACTTCAATTTCACTGGACATCTATACTGATTCCGTCTAGGCGCACTGGCATATCTCTGAAAGAGGGTCGACGCGACGAACATGGAATGGAAGAAGTAGACGGTCTCTTTTCATCTCCTGAAAAATCGCCTGTGGAGTTGAATGGCTTTCAAGACGTGGAAAATGAATCTTCAGTTGGATCCGAGGGCATGTCAATGGACGAAGGTAGGCCAATACAGCGTCGCCTTATATTTCGCCGATTCATTGCGTGCTGATGCAAATTCTATAGGCAATGCGCCAGATCCCATGGACTTCCTCAAAGGCACAAATGCCTCACGTACCTCTTTTATTCCCCCGCCTGCCGCGCGGTCGCCAATGAAGACTGGCCTCACTGGGTCCCCGCGGAGGACTCCAGCGTTGCAGTCAACTCCAGACCCGCAGTATCTTGAGTCATCTAGTCCGTCCGACGGCAAAGGTTACGCGGGCGCACAGGCAGAATCGCGTCAAGATCCATCTCCTCTTTCCACTCGCTCGGTGAACGTGGGACGCTCGAACCAGAGGAATGGTGCACGGCAAAAACCTACTACAAAAGCCCAACTAGCAGCAGAACTTGAGCCCGCGGTCATAAATGACTTTTCGGACTTTTCCGACGGCGACGAGAACGCCAATGCATTCACCGATATACAACAAAATTTCGGCGACAGCCTGAATGTTGATTCTGACTCAGTTGATGCAGAAGAACTATCCGATTCTCCCGGGCAAGACCAACGCGATCATGACGATAATTCATCCACGGCTGAAACGACACCGCCTCGGGAGGAACCCGTCGTGGCCTCCAAATCAACGAAGAAGACCGCGCCAAAGACCAAGGTACACAGGAATCAGGCGAACCCCCCTGCGCCGCGCGGACGTCCAAAGTCTCAGCGCCGTGATGTCGAAGAAGACGCCGACCCCAGACCAACCAAAAAGCAGAACACCAAAGCATCCCCACCGGTGCGTGAACCTTTAGAGCCGGAATTGGATCGAGTGGTTGAGAATTACGCCAACCGCACAGGCCCTTTGAAAGGCCGAAGTTTGTATATCCTCAAGCGTGAGAATCCTACCGACATCAGTGCGACTCACACTCGATCTGGACGGGTTTCGGTCCGACCACTAGCATACTGGCGTAATGAACGGTGCGTCTTTGGTGATGGCGAGGCAGCCGAGGGGCATCGGTACCCTCTTTCAACCATTAAAGAGGTAATTCGCACCGAGGAGCAAGAGCCTGAAAAGAAGAAGAAAAAGAAGGGGAAACGCTCAACATCCCACAAGTCTAAGTCCAAGAAACAAAAGGATGATTCTTCGGACGAGGATGAGGATGTTGATCTCTGGGAAAAGGAAGGCGGTGTTCTTCATGGCTACACCCTTAAATGGGACGGGAAAACACAGACCAGCTCGAAGGAGGAGGAAGTCCTAGGTATGAACCGTTAACCCCCTTTATGGTTGGTTCCTTTGATTGGTTCCTTTACTAAGTCCATCTTGATACAGACATTGCATATGCTCCCTCTGGAATCGAAACCAGAGAAGTCAAAGACTCGACATTCCGATTTGCGAAGCTGCTTAGCTCGTCCTTCATCGGCTCTGGAGTTGTGGAGCTCCCACCTGATGGAGTCAAGAAACCTAAGAACTCGAAGAAAATGCACATGGTCTTTTATGTCTGTCACGGACGTGTTCAAGTGGATATCTCAGGTGTCCAGTTTAGTGCCGGAAAAGGTTGTGTTTTCCAAGTTCCTCGTGGTGAGTCTCATTTCCCCTGGCTTCTTGGTTCGTATCAGGTAACTGACACCAGGATCCCATCTCCAGGTAACTATTATAGCTTTGCAAACACCCATCAAAAAGAGGCTCGACTTTTCTTCACGCAAGGCTGTGTCCCCGATGAGAACGAGAATGAAGACGACACACCGCAGATGTCTCATGATGCCGGCCCTGAGAGCGAATTCGAGGCCGACACTCCCGCCGCTCCTGTCCATATCCCTGCTAAAAAGACCAAGGGTCGTCCCAAGGGAAAGCAGAAGAAGGCAGGCAAATGATCACTTCCATTAGCTCCGCCCTCCAACTCCTGTTCTCATGTTTGTAGGCATTGACAACGCGCCATGATATTTTTGTTCTACGTCGATACCCTGAAATTTTATTTTGTGGGCGTCTAAATGTCTTTTTTTTTTTTTGTTATTAGTTCTTCAGCGATTTGTCTTCACACGATTACCAGGGAATTTGGCGTTTTTTTCCTTTTTTTCTTCGCCTGTATCTCCAGTTAATTATGCAGTATCTATTGGTGATAATTGGTGATGGACGAGCAACTGAAAGAATCTGAGAATCAGAACCTCATTTATTCGAAATATTGAAATGTATTCGTTCCAAGTATACATACCCAGAATATCAAATCTCCTCCATTAGGTCATCTAGATCATCGTCTAGACCCAACGGGGGGAACTCCCCAACTTCGACCTTCTCGGGCTTCACAAAGACACCCCTGTTGCTTAAGCACTCGAAGTAGCGCTGTCCGCCCACGGTACCGTCATTCTTCCCCATCGGCTCGTCAAGCTCAATCCCGACCCAGATTGGCTGGAGATCTGCCGGAAGTTCTGTATTCTGCTGCAGTTCGCGACCCGGACCGGTAATAGGAATAGTCGGAACAGGTCCAACGAAACGGATCGTACCGCGTCGAATATGCGGTGGAGATGAAGGCAAAACGATGGCTCGCTTAGCAATAGTGATTCCTGCCAAGATGTCATTAGGTCAATAAAAAAGGAAAGAAAATCGCATTGACACCCGAGGTATTTGTTTCAACGAACCTCTTGTTTGAACCTCGTTCTGGTCTTTCCCGACTTGATGGCGTAGGGCATCTTCGGGGGATAGAGCGTTAGGATCAAACCGACCCAGCTTCTGGTTCTTCTTCCAAGCCAACACAGAGTCCGAACGGGCTTCGTATGTCTCGGTTGGTAGCACATATTTCTCGACCGATGACAAGTCGGTGAAGTTAGCCCGCATGGTTTGTGGGCGGCTGTCATTGACCTGGTGAGGATACAAATCAGCATATACTCAGAATTCGTAACATAGAACTCTTGCCCTGGCAACTCGAATTAAAGGACATGTCGGTTAGTGTCCGGCAAGACCGCCAGAGTAGAGTCAAGGAGAAAGAAAAGAGAACCAACCTCGATCTCCGATCCCTTCACCAACCCCCAATCCCCGATTAGGCGGTCGTCCCCATCGGCCCATTGGTCAGGTCGACCGGGGACTTTCACCCGCAAGCGCTGGGATCCTGGTGGAATTCCCGTCATAGTCTCCAGTTTTGCCTTGACCTGCATCACCGTCCAGGTTGGGGTGATACGGCGCTCAGTCAGGAATCGAGGCTCCGAATCCCCAGGCTTTGCTAAAGCCGCATTGGTAATGATGACGGAGATATCCATCGGGGT